TAAAACGTTCGCTTATTAGTACGCGTTTTCTTTTTAAGACGTCGGCTGGCAGTTATTTCCCCACCATTCATTGCTTTCAATTGGGCCATTAAAAATATATCTTGTTCGGATCTAGAGAGAGCTTGAAACGCCTCACGTAATTCGGCAAGATTTTCTCTTGGAATCCTTTTTGAACAACCACATTTACAACCTATCTCCAGGAAACGTATTGCTTTTTCATATTCACTGGAACTGTTATAATTAAAATTTTTCATATACGGATAATCCTATATATAAATAATCCTATATATAAGTTTTATCAATTATATGGTAAGAAGTTTATTTTTTTCAATAATTTTATGTAGCCTCCAGTACGATTTGTGTAAAGCCACAAAATCTACTCCCCTTCTTTGGCTGCAGGAACAATGTCTTACAATGTTTGAATGCAAATGCAATTATTAGAGTTCTATTGAGTTGTATGATTTAGGAATTGTTATGGTATCCGCATGGATATTGTGGTTATCATGTCTTAATGACTTTTTTGTCTTGTGATGGTATAGGAAGATGGATAGATGTTTTTGTAAAGCATATATCACCTCACTAATTGTTTGTATTCGAAAATTCTCGTTTTGCGAGAATTACTCTAGTCAACCTCACTGGGATGGTGGTTGACTTTCAGGCTGTTCGCTTCTGCCAAACATAATCTCAAGCATATCAAGATCATGATCCTTCGTAATGACTTGTCCATCATTTACCCCACTTGGTTATCTAATGTCATCGCAGTTGACGTTGATGGGATAGCGGACTTCACCAGCCGTTCCTGACCAATCAAAGTCGATTAGCATAAACTTGCCCTCACCGTTCTTTTGCACAAAGAGGTTCGTATCACGCAAATCACCATGGACGAAGTTCTGTTCATGAAAAGTGTTGACAACTTCCTCAACTCGGCGGCGGAATACCTCAACGGATGGAAAGCTGATGTTGTCTTTAGTCCGATGTGAATATGGTAAATAGGCTCGATCCATCACGTCCATTACTACACTCCCTACCAAAAAGTATTGGCCGAAATTTGCCGATCAATAGCAAAACATATGAAAAATCTTTTTTTTTCGAAAACTTGTATTGTAATTGGCATTATTTACTAAGTAAACAACAAAATTATATATATTGTTATAAAGCTAATTGACTGTCCTATTCGGAAAAAATAATGAATATTTAAATCTACTATTGTATGTAAAGCTGTACTTCGATGAAGTGGCAGCAATATGTTACACGTACATTTTTTATATGATTACATATGTGTAACCACGTACGGCTACTTCACTGAAACACAACTTCATCAAAACTCCATATTAATATGCCTTGGCTTATTTCCAAAATTTCAGGTTCAAAAAGTATAAGATATCGCATAAATTTGCAGATTTACCATTTATAAAATACAGTCGGACCCCGTTATAACGAAATGCGTTATAACGAATTTTTGTTATACCGAAGCAAGGGTTACTTTCCCTT